GGCGTACATTGCGAGATACTCCGCCCAGCGCGAATGGGCTGTTCAACTATTCTTCGTGTGGGTGTACCACCCCCTCAGCCGCTGCCGTTGCCATTGCCGTAATCGTTGATTCACCGTGTACTCACGTCATGTCGCACGTGGAATAGAAAAGGATGCATAATACATGATTTGTACTTCATTAGTTTTCTCTCTCAATGATTGGATTACCGTCAAGTTTTATTTATTATTCCTTGTTTATCGGGTGTCATTGCTGTCGACGTATGCGGTACTCTGTTCAGTGGTAAGAACGGTTTTTCTTGATTGTCTAAAAGGTTTCTCACTGTCGTGATGTGAGCGCGATGCGTGAGATCGTTCTGATTTGTTATAGTATATATGCTTGCGTGTTCCGAAATAAACGTGGTTTGCTGTCAATGTTTGTGCTCTCTATACGTCTCTGTATATTGTATCCGTGTCTTATGCGTTACAGATTCGATGTTAAGCTACTATCCCAGAGGTCTCGCAATTCCCACAGCTAGCTGCACTACTTTAAACGAGAACCCACGCCTTGCCTGGGATTTTTTTTATGCTCACCTCTCCGCCTATTTATTTGAGCTCCGTCAGCCACTCTACTTTCACATTCTTATGTGCTCAACATTTTTGATTCTTGATAGATGTTATCCTAGAAATTATCAGTCATCGATCGCATAAAAATTTTGACAAAGCTGACTACTGAGCACTCTCGTTTTGGAAGTGATAGTCGTCACGTGGATGCGCCTAGATTCTATCTTCGCGTTTCCAAATGGCTTTGTGACTTTCGAAAATTAACCGCCTTGCTCATCTACTTCCATTATATGAACACTATACAGTTCAATGTGCCTAATGCCCCGCCGCGGTGGTCTAGTGGCTAAGGTACTCGGCTGCTGACCCGCAGGGTGCGGGTTCAAATCCCGGCTGCGGCGGCTGCATTTCCGATGGAGGCGGAAATGTTGTAGGCCCGTGTGCTCAGATTTGGGCGCTCGTTAAAGAACCCCAGGTGGTCAAAATTTCCGGAGGCCTCCACTACGGCGTCTCTCATAATCATATGGTGGTTTTGGGACGCTAAACCCCACAAATAAATCAATCAATCAATCAATCAATCAATCAATCAATTGATCAATCAATCAATTGATCAATCAATTGATCAATCAATCAATCAATCAATCAATGTGCCTAATGCCCGGATGTACTTGGAATCATACTGCCTTTAGATATCTGAAAAATATATTTGTTTCTTTGGAAGTTCGTAAAGATGGGGCGTAGTATGTATTGGAAGTGTGAAGAAAATTTGCAGTGTTTAGGTTCGGGTCAGTTCATGCGAACTGCACCCATAGTTACTACTCTGTAGGCATGATCCTACTGCTAGAGAGTCTTCTAGTAACGTTAGCAGGAAGTTTTGTCGTCACATTTGTTCTCTATTCAAGTTTCTCGCATAGTGTCATCCCACCGTGAACTCGTCGTAGACGAGCTGCCTTGTTCCGGCACTATAACTCCACAGAATGACCGTCGTACACATAGTAGACACTATGAGGTACGTGTAGCAGTGATGGCGTTGTGGTTCCTTGCTCGGGGTTCCGGGCTCGAATACTTGGTGTGACGAAGGTCACATTTCGTCTGAATTAAGCGACATTCAAAGACGGTCGTGGGCTGATATATTCACGTGCACGTTTTTCCACATCCTTGGTGAAAATTAATATCGGACAGCATGCGAACTATGAACTACGAAAGCATTATGGCGTTACAGAAATTAAACTTGTTACACATCGGTTATTATTGTCAATCAGAGACGAGGTTATTCGAACGCTGGATACGCTATAAGCTCGTTACTACGGAATGTGCATGTGTTTATATTCTTATTCATAGGTCTTCACACTAAGTGAGTTGGAAGAACCGCCCCTTCCGCTGTCTATGTGTCTTCTTGTGTTTGCGTGTTAACTTTCTGCAAATGAAAACAGTTGTTGAGTGTAACGTCTCCAGAAACCACGATATGATTATCAAAGACGCCGTAGTAGGGCGCCGTATATGTTTGGACGTCATTAACGTACGCCTAAACGAAAATACACGGTCCTCGGGCGTTTCGCCTTCATCTGAAGTGCGGCTGGGAGACACCGTAACCACCAGGCCACCGCGGCGGATCCACTTGCTGGAAAACACTCCCTAAAGAACAGCGGTTAGACATAATTAACTCCCCGGAGGCCGCAAGGTCAAAGCTCCACCAATCAATCAGTCTTACAGCCACTTTTCTAACGCGTTTATGACTGCCATATTCCATACGCCAGATCTTCGTTTTCTCGTGTGTCATGCTGTGAAACGTCGGCTGTCGACTATTTGGCTTGCACAGATGCAGCTTCAAAGCACGCCGGCGAGCCTGATTCTGATGCTGCTTCGATTATTCCTGATACGCTTGATTACACTGGGACGCGTGCGTTTAGCGCATTGTCGCTTTGGTTTTGGACAGATCGAGAACACGGACGCTTTTTCCCCTTCTAACAGCCACTGCCCTACTTTAGACGACCCTGCATATTCGTCGGAGCGCTCATTTCGCCAATGTTGTCCGAGCTGGTTTAGAGGTTTTCCCTCTGTGCCGTCTCTGGGACTCCGAATTACTTATAGCGGAACAAGAAAAAAAAAGCAGCAGCACCGTTACAGGTCACGTTGTCTTGTGACCGATTATCTCGTGGCGGCCCGAATCGCGCTGCCGGGTGCAGGTGCGTGTGTGATGACGGGAGTAGAACAAGGACAACAAAAGAATAAAGTCCCTTCATAACCTACGTATACCGTTATTAGAGAGAATCATACACAGCGGAGGGTGGCCATAAAAACAGTGTGTATTATGTCTGTAGAAGTCACTTGGCCTTTGAAGACGAGGTTGAGAAGGAAGCCGTGTGAGTTGGTGTACGGGAATAGGGAGAGAAGTCGTAGCTTTTATACCAAGCGATTCCCGCGTGAAAAACAAAGTATAGCAGCAGTTTGACTCCGTGAAAGCCGTCGGAAAGCAAAGCTGTAAGCGTGTGAAATCACGTGCATCATCATCATCATCATCATCATTTCTACTACTACTACTACTACTACTACTACTACTACTACTGCTACTACTACTACTACTACTACGACGACGACGACGACGACGACGACGACGACGATGGCCCAGGGTATACGAAGACAGCATGGCCTCGTCACTGCGAGCCTCAAGCGACGCTCTACGAAGATGCCACTTTAAAATTGAAGCGCGCTTCGGAGACGGCTGATCGATTGCGAAATGATTACTGTACCGATGACGCAGCGAGGCACTGCATACACTCCTTTGAGAGACAAATTAAGCTTCAGTTCTGGTATGGCAGATGAATGGCGCCCGCTTTCTCTGTAATGTCTGATTAGGAGTTCGGGGTCCTTGATTAACCGGGTTCGACTGAGTGACGCACGAAGTAATTCTTAAGAAGACACCGTCTTCAAGTTCATCATCATCACAGTCGTATGTACGTAACCTGCAGAGTTTCTTCGCTAACTCGTTAACGCAGATTGCGAAGCGTATATAATCTCTGGAACGTCGTGCATGTCGGCTTTCAGTAATGCAGTTCGCTGTGCGTTTTCTTCCGTAAGCTAACGAGAGTCGGAACGGTTCTCAAAGTTAGACAGAGATTGGCTTTTAGGAAAGCACTTTAATCTCTAGCTGATGCAATAGAGTTTCGAAAGTGAACTGTGGGGCCTGAGCTCCAGATGAGATTTTTAATCTCTTAATTATGTGCAATAGAGCGGATGGTTTGTCCGCAATGCTAGGCGAGATATTGTGACACAAGTCGGGACGGCGATGACAATTTGGATGCGACTATAAATAGAAGGCTATAGAATACGATTCTCAAGTGGCTCTTCCCATGCTGAAAATTACCGATGAATAAGCCTATAGGTTCAGCGAGGAGCGTTCCTGTGGTCTTGTGTGCCAGTCGTTAATAGCTTCTTCCAATGGACAACGCATCCTTTGTTGTACGCGCAGCACATTTGCCCCGAATCCTGCGTTTCAATTAAATTTTACGGTTTCATGGGCACAAGCTATGGTCACTCACTCACTCACTCATCTACCCACTCTCATTCACTCATCCACGCACTCATTCACTCACTCAGTTACTCCACTCACCTACTCACTTACGTATCACTCACTCACTCACACTTTTTTATCTTATCACCTGTTCCACAATTCCAGGACATTGCTGGAATTACTTTTAATATATATATATATATATATATATATATATATATATATATATATATATATATATATATATATATATATATATATATATATATATATGAAAGGGAAAAAAGTGTATACCTAAGGGCTCGTTTTTCCGTGTTTTAACACAATATTAATGAGATCTAACAGACAGTAATGCCAATGAATGTACAGGGGAAGTTATTAGAACCAATGGAATGTAAATAAGAAGAAAGAAAAGTGGATGAAAAAATAACCAGCCGTGGGCAGGAATCGAACCTACGACCTTCGAATAACGCGTTCGATGCTCTAACCGCTGAGCCACCCTTTTCATCCACTTTTCTTTCTTCTTATTTACATTCCATTGGTTCTAATAACTTCCCCTGTACATTCCTTGGCATTACTGTCTGTTAGATCTCATTAATATTGTGTCAAAACACGAAAAAACGAGCCCTTAGAGCCCTTAGGTATAAACTTCTTTCCCTTATATATATATATATATATATATATATATATATATATATATATATATATATATATATATATATATATATATATATATATATTATATATATATATATATATATATATATATGGCATGCTTCGTTCACAACTGGCAGATTCCGGTGGTAGCGGGTATCAGTGGAGTGGCGCTGCTACCACTGACTATACTCGAGAGGTTGGAATGATTGAATTCGAAGCGTTACATTAGTCCAGTTCTACCTGAAGCATTTCGTGGGGAGGTAACCCATCGGTCTGTTTTTATATTATTTTACAGCCTAGCTGCCGATTGCTCAAGTGAGGATAACCTGCGCACGAAGGATGCCTGGGAGTGGCCGCCGCTGTTCCTCCTGACAACACTAGCGTCCCACAGCAGCAGCCATGCGCCGCAACACGCGGCGTATGCTGAAGCTGGCGCTGACGGCGCTGGCGTTGGTGCTGTGTACCACGCTGCTGTTCCGCAGTCTAGCGGGCAGCGGGAACCAGGTGCTGGACTATGTGCCTCGTGGTGCTTCCTTCCTGCCCAGGGCTCCGCGGGAACCCAACGCTGCCGCAGAGGTCAGAGCTTTTCCCAGCCTCGGGCATTGCCTTTTTTTAGCGTGTGATGGAGGGTTATGTCTTCTGCCTCATCCGTGGAGCTGCTCGCAGGAACTTCTATATGATCAGCAAGCATTGGAAAGACATGTAACTTTGGAAATATTGTAACCAATGTGACATGGTGAATGTTTTAGTGCACTGGATCTAACAATGTTCGTGCCCTATTCCCTGCGTTCTCGTGATATAGCTTTGCGATCACTATATTAAAATCTGATAGAACTAAACAATTTCGGATAGGTTCCACGCAGATGACGGGCGCGGTAGCTGATTGCCTACTATACTAAAGAAATAGCACCGCTCATGCACTTGACATTGTTCAACGGTGAAGTTACCAGCCGGCTGGCTGATTGCGTTAATCTGGAGTGTTCGCCCATTGATGCGGACTTATGTGCATTCGCGTTTAAGGAGAAAATGCCGTGGGCTTTTAAAGGGACACTAAAGGCAAATATTTTGTCGTAGCATGATTGTTGAAGTAGCGGTCCATAAACGTCGTAAGGATATACTTTTGTGCCGAGGAAATGCTAATTTTGAAATAAGATCACGTTTTAGCCCACTTCGAATTACCCGCTTCATGTGGAACCTTTCACGTCACTGTTGCCGTGCACAACGTTGACCGGCTTTACTGCGCGGCCGTCGACACTTGTAGCAGCAGAACGAAAGTAGCGGGAGCCACAGCAGCAACAACGGCCATGGAACAATTTCGTGCCGTCGCCTCAAAGATGACAAGCGTGCTTGGTTCAAATGGGCCCCGCTAGATGGCAAGACCTGTCCAGTTTAACCAGGCGAAAGGTGAACGTTTGAAACACTCGCGCCATTCCCCATGGTAACATCCGGCGGCTCTTTTTTCCATTAATCAAACGGGAACGAACAAGCAGCATTTTATTACGCCTCTTACTGCACGGAAGGTTCTTTATTTAGTGGTGCTAGTTAAATTACTAGTGATTAATTGTAGGTGGTAAGTCTGACGTCACCGGGATCGTTTTGGGAATGCCCCGCTCGTGGTATACATGTGTTCTCGCGCATTTGCACTAATTTCTCGGTAAGTTGGGTGCTGTTGTTGATAGTGTCGGTTTAGACGTCGTCACACATTGAGCTTTCACTCTGGCTTGAATTGTTATTTGACTTTAGTGTCCCTTTAATGCTGCAATCGGCTATAGCTGTTCTTGCAGGAAACTGGGCTCTTAACAGCTCCGTGTAACGCTGCGGAGGCCTATGTGGCTCGTCATCCAATGAGCGCCGAGAGAGGGCTGCGTGCTATTGACATTAAGGTGGAATGACGCGTGTTGCGCTAGGTGCTATTACTCCGCGACTGTATAGTTTCAGTTCGGTAGGCGTCTGCGGCCACTGACAGAGTTTCGCTTCTAATCCCCAATTATGATTGGCTGACGGGACTTGAAGCTTCCGTTGCGTGCCACAGGGTCGAGTTACGTTTTGTCAAAATTCATTTCAATATCCGTTCTTGTCTCCCTCTTATTCGACCGGGCGCATCTCTGCCGTTGTTGTCATACCAATGCATTTGTCACTCCATGGCGTGTCGCCGCGATTTGCGCACTTTTTGACGTTCGGTTGAGCGGCCGGTGTGACAATTTTTTCTTTCTTTTTTTGTTTTGTTCTCTCGAGTTTTTTTTTTTTTTTTGTACTGGCGCTTTCATGTCGGACAGAACGCGAAGAATAAACAAAGTCAACGCCGCATAGCTGCCGTTAACCACGCGAGCGCAAATGTGGGACGGATGTGTATTTTCTCGGCTGTTTAGCACCGCCACTTCTCGTGGCTAATGCCCTGTTAAATCTGCAGCACTTTCGGTTATATGGTACCGTCTGTTGAACTCGCACTCTGTCACTCAGGACCGGAAAGAGTCAGTGCTTCATGGCGTGCTGGTGCAACACCATAGTTGGTGATATTGCCACCAAAACTGGAAGAAAAAAAAAAAACTTTTGCTTGCAGATCTATCAGAAGGTAATGAAACAAATGGGGTTAGTCCTCGCACTGAACGAAACCACGAGGTTGTCCTTTACGAATGACTTGGGTTTCGTAACAAGTGACTGTGCGTGTATATATTAGTTGGTGCTGTCTCATTGGAGAGTAATTGTGGGGGCACAAGCCGGTGAAGCTGCTTTTGTTGCGTCGAGAAACGCGGTCTAGAACGGGCGAACGACGCACACAGGACATTTTATGACTCAGCACGGAGGCAACGTCGAATAATAGAAAGCAAGATTGTGCGGTGCAGTCTGTACACTGCGTTATCGCGAGGCAATGAGAACGTGTGCTCGCCTTGGCTATCGGCTAGTATTTTTTTTTTTGCCTTTCGCTTTGTCAATTGGCCTCACGAAAAACGGAGGAAAAAGGGTTTGGGTAAATCCATAAGGGCTTTATGTTATAGGTGCGCTTCTCAAAGATACGGGGAGGCGATCATTCTGTTTCTCCAGTCGAGCCTGTGTATATAGCCCGGACGACCCAAGTCGTAAACTCTTGTGCTTAGAAGCCACCGCCGTGGGTTTCGGCGTGCACTGTCGCGCACGCCGAAACGATGGGGCCGCTTAATTCTTTGTTGCTGTAATATGTGGACTGCAGATTTATGCGCGTGTATTTCTCATTGTCCAAGAAAGTTGCAGCTATGCTTCGATGACTGCGTGATTCTCTTTCGTGTTACGACGGAATACCATGAAAGTGCAGCTATATATATATTTATATATAAAATATGAATGAACATTTGGGAAGAAATGCAGTTATATGGATTGGATATGCGTATATCAACCCCAAAGAGATGTTCTAGGTGTAAGATTGGTCGAGGTATGGTCGAAAAACCATGACCTTTGACTGACGCTGGACTTAGTTATTCGCAGCTACCTCTTGTAACAGTAGCGGCCGCAGTGTATAGGTATTATTCTGAGCATTTCATAAGTTTATCCTCACTCTCTGGCATATTTGAAATCCGTGGCCTCGCCCGTACTATCGGTTGACATTTTTAGCCCCACCAGGAGCGATGTGTCCAGGAAGTTTGTGCATGTGCGTCTTTGGCGTCTGGGTAGTTGTGGAGGTCTGTAATATAAGTATGACTACGACACGACAGACACTCTCCGCGGCCGTGGCGTTCTGCTTATGATTACGGTGTCGCCTGTTCGACTTTGATTAAGTGATTGATATGTGCGCTTCAACGTCCCAAAACGACCATATGATCATAAGAGACGCTGTAGTGGAGGGCCCCGGAAATTTCGCCCACCTGTGTTTTTTTCAACGTGCACCCAAATCTGAGCACATGGGCCTACAACATTTCCGCCTCCATCGGAAATGCTGCCGCCGCGCAGGTTCGAATTTCGTTGACGTGGTGGACTGAATGCGATGAGCTCGCAAATTGAAACCTCCCGTGTACTGGGCCTATGGTGCAAGGCGGAGAACAAAAACGATCGAAGTTGAACTGGTGTGCCCCGTAGCATTGTCGTCGCTCTTTTCTTGTTTCTATCAAACTCGCATGTTGGTTCTCGATAAACACCGCCAACTGATTTAGAGTTTGGACAGAATGTTGTTCGAACATAGGCACGCGTCGTTGTTTGCTCAAAAAACAGAGAAGAAAAAAAGTGAAGGGTGGACGCTTACTCAGGTTTCTGTCGTCTGATTGCAAGAAAAATCCAGTGCTGTGCAAATACTTTTTCTCTGCAGCGTCTTGGCTAGCCGCTTAAGTGCAATGCCTATATCAAACGAAAACAAAGTACAATTTATACTTGACCGCAATTGATGCATATTCTGAAAAAAAAAAAAGTGCTGTGTTACTAAAGAAATCTTTTCAAGTGGCGGGGTAAAAAGCTCGAGGAAAGGCTGCGGGAAAGCCGTATCAAGTTTGACCATATATACGTTAAAAAATACCGCGCGACACCAACTATTCAGAATGACGCGTTACTTTCCATAGCTTTCCTCGCATCGTAGCTTGTCCTTACGAGCAAAAAAAAGTTTCCAGTGCATGACGTTTCTCCGAGTATGAACAGCATCAAAGAAGCCGCGTAAGTGCCGTGTCCAGAGTATATCGTGTATAGACGGCGGCGGCGGCGGTGGCGGCATCCTTTGACGCTGCATTTCGAACTAAAAACGTACACTCTGGCGCTTTTCCTGACAAGGGCCCTAATGATTTCTTATGTGCTGTTGTGACTAGGAAGATATATTTTCGAGAGACGTTGTTGTCGTTCTTGAGTGTCTTTGGTCAGTCGGAATGCACTTTCCTGGTAACCTTCTTCATGCATCGCGCTATTGGGTAATTGGAAATGCATCAAAACACTGGCTTGATTGCTGAGTGATTTTGCAGCTATTCGGGAAAGAGTGATTTGTTTCGATTTTTTTTGTCGTCATATGACGGCTCGCCGTCTTATTTTATGCGTTAAGCTTTAGTACACTGGTATTGCGGCTGTACATAAGTCCATTAATGCAATTTTAAAGGATGGCTTTGAATTGTGTCGCTTGAATAACTTGCAGCTGCGTCCGCTTTCGTGTAGCCTAAAGCTCGCTTTACAGAGGTACACGGTAATACATCGGCCCAATGTAGACAGCTTCATTGAAGTATATTGTTGGGGACTTGTATACTGCCCGTATTTACATGTAACTACGCCGTAATGGATGGGTCCTAAATTGTAATGAGTAACTGATGTTCTTTAACGTTAATGAGTGATTGATTGAGATTGAGGGAAATGATGTGAGGAAGGGAATAAGTTAGGCCACAAGTCGCACTGTTCCGAATATTTTCATTTGAGTATTGCTGCCCTAGTGGTGCTTTTCGAATTGAGATAGTGCAATAACTTTCAAGTGAACGTTGGAAGACGTCTTTTAGGAATATATACGATAACTCTCACTACCCGTAGTCGCCAAAATTTTTTTTCTACAGCTCAGTTACGTCACTCATTACAAAAGCTCGTACAAAAGCTCGCTGTTCTGTAAAAGAACAGCGAGTCATGCAACGTTTCCTAAAAAAATCATT